TGTTCGACGAAGCCCTTCGCCACTAAAAGCTGGCATACCTGGGGCTGGGCTCATCGCACATTCACCGACGGCACGACCCCCCTCGACTATTCGAAAGGAGCGCTTCTCAGACACATCCCTGACTCTAATCTGGAATCAGAGTGAGGGAATTGGGTGCGTGGCAGACGTGGGGATCCGCGGCGAGGATTCTGCGTGTTGCTGCTGTTGCTGATGCTGTTGTTGCTGCTGATGTTGTTGCGTTGTTGGTGCTGCTGCTGTTGTTGTTGATGCTAGTAGTGTGGTTGCCGTTGATGTTGTTATTGTTGTTGGTGGTGGTGGTGGTGGTAGGAGGTGGTGGTGGTGGTGTTATTGCTGCTTCTGATGCTGTAGTTGTTGCTGTTGGTGTTGTTGTTAAGGTTGTTGGTGTTGTCATTGTTACTGTTGGTGTTGGTGTTGCTGCTGTTGTTGATGTTGTTGTTTATGTTGTTGTTGTTGTGGTGTTGTTATTGTTGTTGTTTCTGGTGTTGTTGGTGTTGTTGTGGTCGTCGTCGTCTAGGTCGTCGTCGTCGTCCAGGTCGTCGTCGTCTCTGCGGGTGGGTCGCGGCGCGGGCGGGTCGTGGCGCGGGCGGGCCGCGGCGTGGATAGGTCGCGGGTGGGTCGCTGCGCGGGTGAGTCGTTCGGGCCCCTCAGTGTTCGGTCGGAGGTGGCCTTGCGAAAGGCCCAAGGCGGCCCAGGAGGGCCCCGCCCGAGACGGCTCCCAGAGGGCCCAAGACGGTTCCAAGACGCCCCCAAGACGGCTCCCAGAGGGCTCCACATCCGACGCCGACAGGATCACCCAGGAGGCCCCAGCTGGATGATCTTGCGGGCGTCAGATTTGGGGCCCTCTTGGAGCAGTCGTTCGAGCCCTCTCGGGCCCCTTCTGAGGGCCCTAGGCAGAGCCTCAGAGCCAACGAGGGTCCCAAGACGGCTCCAAGATCCCCCAAGAGGGCCCCAATCTAAGGCGCGCGTATCCTCCCTCCCTCCTCCCTCTTGGGCCCCCAGGGGCGCTCGGGCCCCTCTAAGACGGGTGGGCGGCGGGGCCGATGGGTCGACGGTCGCGGGCGGGTCGCGAGGCGGGCGGGTCGGGTCGCAGGTGCCGCGCCCGCCCGCCCGCGCGTTGACTGGCAGCCTTGTCATCGTCAAAGTTCACGCCCAACACACCAGGGGCCCAATGTCGAAAGATATCAGCCCGCATCTCCCTGGGACCCTTGCTTGAAGTTGAGAACACCCAGGGGCCTCTGGAGCTGGGGCCGACACTGCCATCCACGAGTTGCTGCCACTGGAAGTCCTGTGCTCTACAAGGTCCGTGACCACTGAGACGAGATGTTTTAGATCTTGAACTGGAATCCCTGGCAGGGGTAGCGTATACATAATACGAGTGTGAGTTGACCAAATCTTGATATTGCGTATCGTATCCTCAGAGCAATCAGACAGTCCTGACATGACCATCGACTTAGCATCAATACTGGATATGCTGACCAGGGGTGCATCCTCGAGAGAATTTCCAAGTTGCCTGTGAGATGTTACGATGACCGAGTCCTTATTGAAAGTCTTCTTGGCTGCAATGGGCATGGGTGCAGTTTTGAGCCGACTCGGAAAACCGTGCAACACCTTGATTACAATCTCACGGCGTTCCTCATCAGGCGGAGCTGCGTCGCCGCCATCATCAATCCTGCATGACTTGTGAGTGATTTGCCGCAACGGTGTTAATTGGTACGCCACGTCGGCGCGGTCATCTGCAATAGCGGGCAGGGTTGCGAACTTGTCTGAGCCCACATGTCTCCTCATATGGTCAACGGCGTACTGGCATAGCATGCCCGAGTAAGATAGATTGCCCATTGGCGCCGCCGGGTTCAGTTCAAGCTTTCGCTTTACCAAAACATTCGTAGCTTGTTCATTCTCCCGACGCTGCTCTGCGTGATCTTCGAACTGCAATCCTAGATCGCACCTGTAAATGATATCGATGAGGGCACTCCTCCAGTCAGCAGAATGCGTGGACCGCTCCATCAACAGCTTCTGCACCCTTGGATGGCCAGAAAACCCCATCAAAATCACTGCTTTCTTGGGGCTGCGAACTCGGTCGAATTCCGCTGCAAGAATGTTGAGGAAGCTTGGTTCTGTTACCATAAGCTGTTTCATCTCTGACAGCCGCACTGCGAGACTCACGCTTGGGCCGCCGAGTTTCACGTGTTTTGCCTTGACCTTGACATTTCGATGAAGGCCTTCCACGCACCTCTCCACCACTGGGATAAATTTCAACAACGCTGCTTTGGTCTGCAACTCCTCGCTCATGATCCCACTGGAGGCATATCCGCATCTCCCGCAATCGGGAAACAGGCACGCGACGCATTATCCCAAACGGACGCTTCGAAATCATCCTAAGGCTGCTGGGAACATAGTCCAAGCGCTAAGCCGTTGCCCCACCCCTGGGCCGCTCGGGCCCGTCGCCAACGATGTTGGGATCCCATGCGTGTATTTCGCAGGCTCTTCCAGTGGACCCCACTCCCCCGGGAGACTCCCCCCAGTGAAACATAGGGCCGTCAGAGATAGCGAGAGCGAACACAATATTTCCATATCGGCCCGCAAGGGGCCTCCAATCTGACAGAACTCGCGAGTGAGCATGTGGTGGTCACGAAGTTCAACCTGACCCAAAGAATCATCAAACTCTTGAATTGCTGCAGCTGCCATTCGCCTCCGCGTCGAAGGCCAATGATGACCAAGACCGCGCAGCGACCATGGAAGCTTTTGCCAGAAACTGAATTTGGTAGTCACTGTGAAGTCGAGATATGTCTTGGCAAACTCAAAATCTGCACAGACAATCCTGCGGCCATCCTCGCCAAGAGAGGGGTCCATCTGATCCAGGAAGCTGGCCAGCGCTATCGAGAGCCAGTCAGACAATTTAGAATACAATTCTCCCGCGGCTAGCTCGCTTGACCGACAACCCTTCATTGGGCAATCGGAGAACTCATGCTTGAATAGACTTGCAATTCTGCGCCTTTTCTTTCTAGTGCTCATTCCTTGAAACATGTGTTCGTGGCATGGACACGATTCCAACCAATTTGTCATCTCCATTGTCACTTTGCTGACAGCTCGTATCATGTGAAAATAGCTGCAGAATAATGGGTCCCCGATCAAGTTAGTAATGTCTGTTGATATCTTTCTCGCTGATTCTTTTTCTTTGTCTCCTGGGCCAGACGCTCCAATGAATTTCTGGGCGCCCCATTCGTTTTTCAGCACTTCGAGAAGGGGGTGGGCGGCATTCAGAAAAATCACGACATTGTTCCATCGTTTCTCGTACAAGCGGCCAGAGAATTTCTCAAAGCAGTCCTGAGGGATACACAATCCATGAGGCTTGGTGACGGCGGCGGGGGAGGGCAGCAAGCGTCGAGCATGGTCGCGCTCTCCTTGAAGGCCGGTCCCGACCAGCGACGCATCAGCCTTTCCCCCACCCCGCTCCCAGGGCCCCTATTACAAAGATCCACCACCCCCCTCCTTGTTTGGCTCGGATAAACACCTTTCCATGCATCTCTCTCGGTATTGCTTGTACCCCACAAATTTATCTAGAACCCCCAGCTGGTCGAAGAAATGCCCCCAATTCTCTAGCCGCTCGTGGAGGTCGCCAGCTGAATTGTGGATCAGGTGCAGCGAACCAGGTACGATCAGAGTCCTGTACCAGAGCAGCGCAGCAGGCATGGAGTGACGCATGGGGCCTAACGCATTTTCAAACGCACCGCGGGACCAACAATCGTCGTCTCACGTAGGAGCCAAGCGATTCGCCTGATGTCTCAAGCGGGAGCCGGGGCATTACACAGCGGAGGAGGAGAAGTAGGCGAGAAGGGGTCGGAGGAAGAGGGCCCCCGGGCCCCCAGCACGCGAAATCGCGGCCGTCCGAGTTCTTCGTGGAACGAGGCGGAAAAAGATGGGCAGCATAGAACATTTCCCTGGCGAAGAACCCAACCCTTCTAAATGCGTGAGGGATGTGCCGAAGTGAACCCGAGTAATCATGCAGACGCAGCCACTGGGGCATTGGGTGAAGCTCCCTACGGGGCCACGGGATGTGCGAGGTGAGGGGTGTGCCAGTGTGCCAGAATGGGCCCGAGTAACCATGCGGACGCGGCCATTGAGGCCTTGAGTGGGGCTCCCCATGGGGCCACGAAGCGTGTGATGGGTGTGCCAGAATGGACCCGAGTAGCCATGCGGGCGTTACCATTTGGGCTTTCGGTAGGTGCCGTAATATACCCCATGCGGACACAGCCATTGAGGCCTTGGGTGGAGCTCCCGATGGGGCCACGGAACGTGCGAGGGGTGTGCCATACGGGACCCAAGCAGCCATGCGGACGCAGCCTTTGGGGCCTTCAGTGGATCGTTGCTGCCAAGAAACGTCAGAAGGGGTGTGCCAGGAGGGACCCGAGTAACTTAACCATGCGGACGCAGCCACAGGGACCTTGGGTGGAGCTCCCTATGGGGCCACAGAACGTGTGAGCGGTGTGCCAGAATAGTCTCCAGTAACCATCGACGCATCCTTTGGGCCTCCGGTGGAGCTCCCGATGGGGCCACGAAACGTGTGACGGAGCGCCAGAGTAAACCCGATCAAACATACAGGCGCAGCCATTGGGGCCTTAGGTGGAGCTCGAGCTGCGGCCACAGAACGTGTGAGGGGTGTGCCAGAATGGTCCCAAGTAACCATGCGGGCGCAACCATTGTGGCCTTCGGTGGAGCCCCTATGGGGCCACGGAGCGTGTGAGGGATGTGACAGAATGGACCCGAGTAACCATGCGGATGGTACCATTGAGGCCTTGGTGGAGCTCCTTGTAGACCACCGAACGTGTGAACGGTGTGCCATAATGGGCCCGAGTAACCATGCGGACGCAGCCACTGGGGCATTCGGTGGAGCTCTCTATGGGGCCTCCTGTGTGTTGGGTCCTCGTTGGGTCCTACTCCTCCTCTCCTTCTCTCCTCAGTGGCTGCGTCCGCTTGGTTGCTAGTTGCTCGGGTACGTGTCGGCACGCCCCTCACTCGCTTCGAGGGTTGGGAACAATGTATTTCTGTCCTGGCCATCAAGTCTGCAACGCTCTGAATGACGTCATCGGTCGCATCGTCGTCGCACCCTGTGTCGGCTGATAGTAATCCCGCAAGCCTCCATTCTGGCAGTAGCTTTCGCCAGTCCAGCGATCTGAAGGTTGGCATGCTGATCTCCGTGCCAAGGTCAGTCGTCCATGACACTGTTGCAGATAAATGATCTCTCACGTTCTCAAGAGAGCGCATCTCCATAATATCGGCATGTAGCTTGGCCGCGATTTTGTCTTCCAACCCAGTTTTTCCAGACCCTAGCGCGACAGGAACGCACGCATGGGTCCGGAGGGCCACTTCCAGAGCTTGGTGGTGCGTTGAAAACTCGCCCAGATCCGCTTCCTCCGCCTCCTCGTGATCATCCCAGTCTGGCCGACTCCTGGCCAGCGACTCCGAGGCAATCGCAGCATCAAGAATCTGATCCATTTCTCCGGAGCGCTCCATCATCATGAACCAGTTTCTGCCACTCTGCGGGCTCGAGTCAGCCCAAGCATACACAGGATGTGGCATGGGGCCGCCGGGACAACGAAGAGGCCTCATCGCCATATAGGCCATGTCAAGAGCCACGTGGGAACTACTTATGGTCGAGGCCTTTGGATATGCAGCCCGGCGCGAGAGCTCGGATAGACCAGAATTCGGGAAGATAGTTGACATCGCCGATGGAATTGCATCTTTGATATGCATATGGGATCCTAGCATCCTCTCGAAAAAAATACTGCTGATGATCGCTTTGCTGGAATATTGGGCATGGCCGCCACGTGGCTGCGATGAACGTCGAAGAACCAAACTCATCTGTCTGCAAAAACGGGCAGCTGTGTACATGATAAGATCTTCCTGGCCAGGGATCGAACTTCGAACGCCACTCAGTTCACGACTTTCTACAGTCCTCGTCTTGCCCCGGCCCCTCTCCCCCCCATCGTCCGCGAGACCCAGAGGATGGGAACGGGAAGAAGAGGGGCAAGGGCAAGAGGAGGTCGGGGGGTGGCTATTACAAACGGCCCGTGCAGTCCTCAGCAAAATCATCTTCGTCGACTGCCGATCGAATGATCGGACGCCATCTCTGAAGCGCTTCTAAAAGAGAATCAAACATGTCGGCATCCAGTCTTGGAAAGCCCTCTCCTATGCATTGATCATGTTTGTTTGCCCGAGCCTGCGTCCAGTCCCCTGGTGGAAAATCTGGGAAAACATCGATTGGTATTCTCCATCTGCCCAGCCAGAGCATCGAACACCACTTCCTGTGCAATATCATCCACGATATTGGCTCCACGACAACACTGGCCAAAATGTTTTCCCAACTGACGTCTTCGAACCCCCACTCAACGAGCGCCTCTGACAACGAACTCTGCGAACTCAACTCTCCATTGACATGACCCCTGAGAGAGCCGACATCACCGTCCACGTATAGAAATGGTAAAAAAGGGGCCCCTGAGTTTTTATTGTGGTCCATATCCACGGGGTCACTGCCGAGCGATGGGTAAAAAGCTGATACTTGAAGGGGCTTCTCGAACTTGAAAGCGCGGCGTGCGAGCACAGTGTACCCATCCAAGGGGAAATTGTAGTATTCCTGCCAAATTCGAACTTCTTGAACGGACTGTGCGCCCGGTGAGCCCTCCAAAGGGGATCCGCAAACATCTCCTGGAACAGCATCTACAATCCCTACGATAGAATACTCCTTGGCCAACCTGCCCGTTGCGCTGACCGCTGGGGCACCTGCATTAGATAGTTTGGCAGCCAAGGCGCCTCCATCTGGAAGCCGTAGTCGCATCCGAACTCCATTTTTTTTGCTGCTGCACCGAAGCCGCTGGGACTGCTCGGGCACAGCGCAAATCCATAAAAGGGGCATGTGGCAAAACACGGACAAGGCTGTCTAACAGCTTGGGCAAGCGCGGCGGCAAGGCTACAGCTGGAGAAATATACGTGACAGGTTGGACAAACAATACATACAAGCGTCATAGCATAACACCGCATTCGTTCTAGCATAGCACGTCCTTGGTGTTGTGGGGTAGTTCCCAATGCTGCACCCCCGCCTACTTCAGTGCATATGTTCAGGGGAGGTGTATGCGCCGCGCGGGTACGACGGATGTCAACAGTGCGGTTCGTTTCGATTTGCGTCGATATTGAGAAGAACAGAGGAATATCACGGTGGACGTAACAATAGTACAATAATTGGTTTGTGCATAGTGTTTTTTGGGGTAGTTTTGCGCAGGAGCGGACTAGCCGACAATTCGGAATAGTCGAGGGCGCCGCAATCCACGTGCAAAACTAACGAAGCCCCTTTCTGGAGGCGTCTAAGATCCCGATGGGCTGCCACGGCTCCACCGTAGCAGGGTCTGGGTGCAAAGTGAGAAGCGCGCGTGGCACAAGTGAAAGAACAACATAGTGAACAACTGAGACACGCAACTCGCGCGTTGTGATTCGATGTTTTCTAGGGGGTTCCTGGGGGGCTGATCGGCTTTCTGGTGGCCGAAATGCCCAAGCGTTGCACTAGGTTAAGATTGCAATATGTTTGGGGGGGGGAGGAATTGGACCCCAGCAATTAGTGGCCCCCGACGTTGGTCATATAGAAGACGGACGAGATCGCCGACGTCCCCCGCGGCGGCGCAGACGACGACGACGGCGGCGACGAGCGGCGAGCGGCGACGGCGCCGAGCGGCGAGCAGCCCGGCCTGCACGCTCTTCTGCGGCTCGCTGCCCGAGGTGCCGCCCACCGGTACGATCTTGAAGACGGTCCCGAACTCGCCGCCGCTCTGGAAGACCTCCCGGCTGGCCGGTCGCGCGGCCTGCCTGGCCTACAGAGCGACCGGCGAGGGCGCTGACTGCGAAGACCTCTTGGCCGACCGACCGACCAGCGGCGGCGGCGGCGGCGAAGACGGCCGCGGCGACGACGACAGAGACGACGGAGACAACGGGCGGTACGGCGGCTACGGCGACGGCGGCGGCGGCGGCGGTCACGGCAACGGCGACGACATCGACAACCTCGCAGATGACGGCGGCGGCGCGACGACGATGATGACGGCGGCGGCAGCAGCGACGAAAGGGACGGCGTAAACGACGACGGCGACGACGACGAAGGCCTCTCTCGACTGGCTAGGGGCACGGGGGGCATTCCCCAGGTCTTGCTGAGCCGCCTACTGCAAGAGGGGTAGGATGAGCAGAAGCAGCAGCAGCAGAAGCAGGAAGCAACAGGTCATCGGAGAATTTCGGAGATGGTCCAAACGGCTTCGTAGGTACTCAGGAGGTCTCTCGTCTCCTAGAAATCCACAGCTCTCTGGACGTTCAAGATTCGATTTTTCGAAGGCTTCCAGAGGTCTCTAGAGGTTTACTGAGATGGACAGGGACGCGAGTGATCGGGAGGTAGAGCAGTAGCAGGACGCAGACCAGCGGCAGGAGGAGAGGGAGAGGGAGGAAGAATTTGGGAGCGGGCGAGGGGGCAGGAGAAAAATGGAGAAGAGGAGGGGAAGGGGGGGGCTGGGTGAGCCTTCATAGGGGACCTCTGTGGACCCCCGCGGCCCTATCACGAACGTGATTTTCCGACTGGATTTCGTACAAGTTTCGACCACCCCTCTTCACCCTTTCGTCCAGATGTCGTCCAGATTTCGCCCTGATGTCGACCAAATCCAACCAAGAAGTCCACGCTAAATCCTGAAAACCGAAAGGAATTCTGGGACCCTCCCTTGAAACAGGCAGGGGTGGGGGCTGAGGATGCGGAGGATGGGTGAGGGAGAGGGGAGGGGGGGAGGAGGAAGAGAGCAGGGGGAAGCGGGAGGGCGAGGGCGATTGTTGAGGGGGAGAAGGAAAGAGGAGAGAAAGTCGTCTGGAGGATGGAAGTGAGGGCTGCGGAAGACAACCAATGGAGAGGAGGCATGTTGCCCCCAAAATCCCAAATGCCTAACACTTGTTAAGCATCGTTGGAACATGAAGAAAGCATATTTAAAGCATTCCCAGAACATGTGACACATGCCAAACACAATTGGGTGTCCATTGACATTGCACCCACAAGAAGAGGGAGGAAGGATAGAGGGAGGAGCCTGGGACAGGCTGGGCGAAGGCAATTGCGAGGATCTGCCTTTCTCTGCAAGGCACGTGCGGCCGCGAGTCCGAGGTGTGGCTCTGGAGGGGCGGGGCCCATACAGCCAATCCGTGCGGAGGCCTCAGGCAAGCCGTGGCACCCCGCAGCTACAGGTAGGAGTTGGGGGTGCGGGCGTTGGGTGGGTCGCGGGTGGGTCGCGGGTTGGGTCGCGGGTGAGTCGAGGGAGGGGCCGCTGGCGAGGCTCGCCTTAGATCGTACCCCTCTTGGGGGTATATCTTCCTCACCTGCCACGTGTAGTTGGCGCAGCACCTGAAACAGTGAACGGGAGGGAGAGGGGAAGAGACAAGGGGGAGGGAGAAGGATGGAGCACGAGAAAAAATAGCAGGAAAGAGGCCCGGAGCAGGAACAGAAGCGGCAAAACCAAACGGGCGGGTCGGACGGCTGACCCCAGCGGGCGGGTTAAGGCGGGCGGGCCCAGACGGCCGGGTCGAGCGGGCGGCGTTGAAGCGTCAGTCCAGCGTAAATCGTGAGGAAGTCTTTAACGATGGTTAGATTCAACAAAAAATCCGTCGACCCCTTGGGATCATCGCCGTGTGAGATGCTTCCCCCTACCCCGGGGGCCCGGTCCAGTCGGTGTAAAGGAGGGGGGGGTCCGGCCGGCCCCGGCTGAACGCGTCACGGGCCTTACGACGGGCGAGGGCCCCAAGAGGCCCACAAGATGGTCCAAGAGAGCCCCCAGTCGCCGATGGATCGTTCCAAGACGCCCAAGATGGCCCCCAGACAGCCCAAGAGGCCCCCGAGACGCCCCAAGAGGCGTCCCAAGAGGGCCCCCGACGGCCCAAGAGGCCTCCAAGATCGCCCCAAGACGGCCCAGGAATCCCCCAAGAAAGCCTCAAGACGGCCCAAGAGGGCCCCAAGACGACCCAAGAAGCTTTCAAGACGGCTCCAGGAGGGGGCCCAGGCGGAGGACCCGAACGGAAATTTCGAGCCCTCGGTCTTAATAAGCCTTCAGGAGGCCCTTCAGAAATTCTTAAGAGGCTTTAAGATGCTTATTAGAAGCTTAAAAGAAGTAATACATGGCTTTTAAAGTGCTGCCAGGAGGCACCCGAGAGAACTACCAGGAGCCCCCCAAGGGGTCGGCGGTGCGGCGTAAGCCCAAGAATCAAGAGGAAGTCCAAACCAGGAGCGTGATTCCAGCGTGTCGATGAAGCGGCGTCTCAAGACATCTGGGGAAGTATCGCGCGAGAGCGCGATTCTTAGATACAGCTTCAAACAATGCATCACGAAAACACGATTTTGTTTTTAAAAAGTGTGAGATTGTATGAAGCGAGAGCAACAGCTGCTGTAAACCAATATGCGCCCCAAGATTATTTAGTAAAAACCGAATGCGAGTCAAGGGAGGGGCACCTGCATGGAGGAAAACACAAGGTGCACCGGACGAGGCGGATCAAGAATCATAGCTCTTACGGCATGGGAACTCAACGACAACGATACTTTTACTTTCAAGGCTGTTCGCTCATACCAACTCCCGCGTCATTCAGCATGCAAGTCATATATCCCAAACCTCTCGGTACCCGCTCCCTCCGTCTTCGATCATAGTCGCCCTGGGGGCATATCTTCCTTGCCTGCCCCGTGTAGTTGGCGGCGCCGCTGAAACAGGATAAAGGAGGGAGGAGAGAAGGAACAACGGAGAGGGAAAAGGAGAGGTCAGGAGGAGGAGGAGGGAGGAGGAGGAGGAGGAGGAGGAGGAGGAGGAGGAGGAGGAGGAGGAGGAGGAGGAGGAGGAGGGAGGGAGGACGAGGAGGAGGGAGGAGGAGGAGGAGGAGGAGGAGGAGGAGGAGGAGGAGCACGAGAAAGATTTGCACCAGAGGGGTCAGGAACAGGGAAAGAAGCGACAGCACCAAACGGGCGAGTCAGGCGGGCGGACCCAACGGGCAGGTCGGGCGGGTGGGCCCAGAGGGCCCGGGCGGGTCTCTGAAGTGTCAGTCTGGCGTAAATCTCTAGGAAGTCTCTGGCGATGGCGCGATCCCCAAGCAAACCAATAGGAAATCCAAAGCAAGAGCGTGGTTCCTGAGTGTCGAGGGCGCGGCGTCTCAATCACTTGGGAGGAAGTATCGCGCGAGAGCGCGACTCGTGGATACATCGTGGGGACATATCAAGCATAAGCCGTAGGTGTTGTTGTTGTAGCAGTAAGACGGGGGCCAGGGGCACAGTCTGAGCCTTACGACACTCCCTTGTTAAAAACAAGATGCGAGCCCTTGGAGGGGCACTCTGGGTGCGAGCACCGGAAGGGGCACTTCAAGTGACAAAACACAAGGCGCACCGGACGGAGGGGGGATCAACAACCCGAATTCTTTAGACATGATAACTCAAGAATCCAGACCGCGGATCCCCACTTCAGCCACGCATCCCGGACAGCGAAAGACCGTTCGACCCCCTCACTCTGATAAGTTCAGCCTGGGGTCTCGTCCTCTTCTTGGGGCCCCATCCCTCCGGGCCCCATCTTTGATCAGCCGAGGGGTGGTCCCGGCGCGCGCATCCCCGGGCACGGACTTGGCGGCGCGCAGGAGGGGGTCGGGGACGAGGGCGAGTTGACACTCCACGATAAGGATACTCATCTCCCTGTCTAAGCCACTGGGAAGGGCCCTATAATCTCTTCCCCCTGTCCTGGGCCTCCTGGGGGGCCGCACGCAGCTGTGAGAGACTGGCTAGGGGGGTCTCGGGGAGGGCTCTGGGGACCAAAACTCGAGTGTGCGTGCATAGAGGGTGTGGGCGAGGAGGACGGGGCCTCCTTCAAAAGAGGGCGGGGGCTTCTCGGAAAGCAGTCGGAGGCCTCCAAGAGGGCTTTGTCCTAGGTCGGACGAAAATGGGGGGCAGCAGGGCGGGGGGGGGATGAGCGAACCAGCTGCACGTAGCTGAGTTTCGAGGCGCCTCCCAGCGGTGGGCGCGAGCACGTGGCCGATTCCGAAGCCCTGCATCTAAAAACGTTGTCATCTCTTGGGGGCGCATCTTGTACTTCCGCCCGCTTCTACTGGCCTTCCACCGACTTCCGCGGCCAGGGCCGCCCCGTTTTACTCCCGCCGTCTTCCGCCACATTCTGCCGAGGAAGATATGGCAACTCCTTCGATCCTCGAAGACGAAACCCTTTCTGGAACGCCTCATGCGTCGAGGAACGCGATGGAAGACAGGGCCCAAACCAGCCGCAAGCAGCACATGTCGTCCCCCCCCGCTTCTCTAGAAGGCCCATTTTCATAGAAACACAAACTGCATAGACATGCGAAAACTGCCGTCGCTCTGCGCGGACCTCCCCGATCGGCGCCAGGACCACCGCGCGGGCGAGCTGAGCCCGACATGGGCGGCGCCAGAAGCTTCGCCAGGAGGGTCCAGGTTCGAACCAAGACATCCGCGCTGAACTTCGTACAGTTACGTTGGTGCTGTGTATTGTTCTTTGGTCCCGCAGAGGGAAACCCGAAGTGCATGCGCTTCAACACTATGCGGGGGCGGGTGGAGGAGGTCGTCGTCGTCGTCGTCGCGTCGTCGTCACGTCAACGCCAAAGCGTAGTCAAGTTTTCGACCAGGGATAGACCCTTGCCGATTCAGAGCGGGACCTCCGAGGAGTCGCATCCCAAGTCCCACGGCCAGGTCAGCGCAACTGACGCGGCCGCCGCCGCCGAGTCACTTCGAGGGCGGCGAGGGTGGCCCGGACCACGAGGCGGGGGTGGCCCCGAACGAGCTCCGGGCCGCGCCCTCGAGGCTGCAGGCCGCCGCAGCCTCGGGGGCGGGCGCGGCGGCGCAGAGGTCCGCCTGCCGCGCTGCCCCTGCCGCGCCGGAGCCTGCGAGGCGGAATGTGATCTATAGGGGACCGAACTCTATACACCGAAGCTTTTGTCCGGCTCCGCACCGAAGCTCGCACAGAAAAGCGGATCCTGGTGTATACATTTTTGTCGCCGTTTCCCCTGGAAGATGCGGAAGCCAGTGTGCACCACACGACCCCGACGTCGTCCCCGACCCCCAAAAAGGTCCTGGGACTGAAAAAAACAGCCCGCCACTGGTAATGTATATGTTCCGGTTTTCGACTATCCACACCCACCGCCTGGGGAGCCCAGGTCACCTGACCTCGGGCGTCGCACGTCGCGCTTCGCAATGCGCGCTGGCCTTCGCGCCCTCGCCTCCTGGCGTGCTGGAGCCCTGGAGAGAAAGGCAGCCGCCCTGGCCCAGACCGCGACGCGCGGTGGCCTTCTCGCCCTCGCGGGTGGCCTTGGGAATCGCCGTCCTCGGATCGGGCCGGGCGGAAGGGGGGGATCGCAAAGGGGGGGGGGTTTGAGAATCAGTCAGCTCACGTAGCTGATTTTCCCGGCGCCTCCCGGCGCCGGAGGCGGCCATGTATCGAGCAATGGGCCCCTCCGTGGGGCCGAAACCAGCGGCATGCAGCAGATTTCGTGACCCCCCCTTTCCCAATCCCCCCCTTTCGTCCGGCCCGATGGGACCCCAGCGTGCTGGGGATGTGTATACCTGTTTGGGCCGAGAGGGCCCGAGCATGCATACCATATCCACCGCCTGCCGGGGTCCCCGAATCGTCTACACGCAAGAGTGCCCTCTGTGGTGCCGCTCCAGGAGCCCCGCGTGGGGGGGAGGGAGGGGCAAACCCAATCGCGCGGGCCAATGCTGGGGGGACCCCTGCGGGCCCGCACCGAAAGCCCTTCCAGCGATGTGCCACTCTTGCGCGCAGCGGACCCGAAGATCTATCCACCAAGTGATGGTTGCCCGTGGATAAGCATCCCCAGCGCGCCCGAGCCCGCGCCGAGGAGCCAAACGTCCTCCCGGATGGATGCGGCCAGGGGCGCCGCGGGCGGCCGCGCGGCGTCCTGTCCCAGACCCCCGACGTCATGATTTCTCGTGGCGTGGACCCCGCAGAAGTCTCGACCCACTTCCCGAGGCCAAGTTTGTCCTCCCCCGAACCGTTCTTGGACTGTCCGGGCGCCCGGCGAGGGCCCCCAGAGGCCGAAGATAGCGAAACAACTCCCGTCGAGCTGCTTTCAGGTCTCGAGGGTGTCTGGGCCTGCGTCGCCGCCTTCCGTAGCCGCCGGGCCGCGAGCCGCTGCCGCGCGCGCACGGCGGGCACGTCGCCGGCCAGCGCCATGCCGGCCGCGGCCCTGCGCGCGGAGGCAGGCGAGGAGGACACCGCCCCCACAGAGCTCGCCCGCGTGGGCGCGGAGCCGGCCTGGAACAGCCGTGGCACCAGCGGGGCGGGCTGGAGCGCGGCCACCTTCGGTGGCAACTCATGGGAGCCTCCCATGCCATCTTGCTGGCTCTTGCGAGATCGACGCCTAATTATCGACGCTCATCGGCGCTAACTCGACGCTGATCGGCGCTAAATCGGCGCTTCCTCATCGATTACCAGCCACTAGCGCACGCTAATGCAGAGACGGATCAGGAGGACACACAAGGCCACCTGCGCCTCCACGCGGAGCACGTCGCCCTGCAGCGCCCGCACCTGCTGGCCCAAGAGCCCCAGCTCCTCCAGCGGCTGCCTGGCCCCGCGCGGGCGCTGGTGCTCCGCCTCTCCGCTGGGCGCCTCGTGGCGCTGCATGCGCGGCGCCGGCACCTCGGCACCGGCGGCGCAGTCTGCACCAGCGGCCGGCGCGTCTCCGGCCAGCGCGGCCGCCTCGCCCCCGCACAGCGGGGACTCGCCGGTGCCCCCCTCGACTGGCACGCCGCCCGGCTGGTGGGCCTGGAGCCGCTGCTGCACCTCCGCCAGCTGGGCTTGGAGCCGGCCCTGCGCCTGCTGCATGCTGGTCAGCACCGGGAGGATGTGCTCCTCGAGATAGTCGGCGCAGATGGCGCGGATGGCGGCCAGCTCCTCCTGCGCCTGGCCGTCGTAGTCGCCCACGAAGAAATTAGGCGGCGGCTCGCCGGGAGGGCCGTCGGCGTCTTCGTGCACCAGGCCCCCTGGCACTCCGCGCGGCAGCTCCCCGGGCACTCCGCGCTGCGGGTCGGCACCGCAGCGCGGGGGCGACGCTACCGCCCTCATCTGCTGGGCAGCGTGGTCGCTGTGCGACCGCGCGCGGCCGATGCCCGCGTACCAGTGGTGCAGCGAGTGCCTGCGCGGCAGGTCCGTCCGCTGCAGCTGCCGCTGCGAGGCGGGCCCGTCCGCTGCGGCTCTGTCCGCGGTGGGCCCTCCAGCGGCGGGCACGCTGGCAGGGCAGCGCGGCAGGTCCATCTGCAACGGCCGCAGCAAAGCTCTCCTCCGAGGCCCTACGGCGCCCTGCCCATGGCGGGCACTTCAGCAAGGATAACTACAGAGGATAAGAGGGAGATAACGGAGGAGGAGAGCGAGATGTAGTAAGTGAGCAATGTTTGCCAGCGTGGGCCCAACACAGTGAGAGTGTGCAAGGCGAATGTCCAAGCTATGCGGTGCAAGGCAGAATGGTGGAAGCTATGTGGTGGAAGTCATGTGGAAGCTGTGTGGTAGGAGCGATGTCGTGCAAGCTATGTGGTGCAAGCTGAGCGGTGCCGTCTATATCGGTGCCCCTTCCGCCCGGGCTTCCCAGGGGTTCTCGTACTCGGCGCACTGGGTGCACGACGACCCGAAACCTCCCCCCACTCTCCTCCCTTCACAGGGGGGGTCATACTTGGTGTACCGGCAGCCCACCCCTCTGTTGTGGTGGGGTGGGGGGCTCCTGTTGGAGTGCAAAGGAGGGCCGAGAATCGCGATGGGGAGGCATCCTATGAGGTGTGGGAAAGGCCCCGGGGAGACCTCCAAGGGTCTGCGGACATCTCTGCATGGATGTTGTCGTCGAGGACGTCGTTCGTCGTAGTTCATCGTTGTTTATCGTCGTCGTCCGTTGTCGTCCGACGTCGTCCGTCGTCGTCGTCGCCGTCGCCGTCGCCGTCGTCGTAGTAGTCGTCGTCGTCGTCGTCGTCGTCGTCGTCGTCGTCGTCGTCGTCGTCGTCGTCGTCGTCGTCGTCGTCGTCGTCGTCGACGTCGTCGTCGTCGTCGTCGTCGTCGTCGTCGTCGTCGTCGTCGTCGCCACGTCGTCGTCGTCGCCACATCGTCGTCACGTCGTCGTCACGTGGTCACGTCGTCGTCACGTCGTCACCCCGTCATCGTCGTGGTCGTCGTGGTCGTCGTGGTCGTCGTCGTCGTCGTCGTCGTCGTCGTCGTCGTCGTCGTCGTCGTCGTCGTCGTCGTCGTCGTCGTCGTCGTCGTCTCCTTCGCCGCTGCCGCCGACACCGCCGACGCCGCCGCTGTCACCGCCGCCCGCCGACGCCGTACGCCCGTCCTGCCTCAGCGGTCCAAAGCAACTTGTACGCTCAAGCGCGCTCCCCTGGGGGCTCGCACACGCTCCTGGGCGCTCGAACCCCGGGGCGTCCCAGGAGCTTTCGTACCGGGCCACACCAGCGTTGCGTCCCGGGGCGGGTCTGTGCATCCCTGGGGGTGGTCGCTCCGCACCGGGCAGCGCCGACATAAATGATGCCAGCTATGTGGTGTGAGCTACGAGGGGCAACCTAGGTGGTGCAAGCTGTATGCTCCAAGCCATGCGGTGCAAGCCATGTGGTTCAGCCAGCGCACATGGCGCCCACGAGGCGCCCACGGGCAGCTACAGGCGGCCACCAGGCGAAAACTCTAAGCCGCCAGCAAGCGCACGGGGTGGCACGAAACGCCCACGTGCGGCGACCGGCGAAAACCAGGAATGGCAGTTTTTTTGTCGAAGCCTATATCGCGCAATCACTATTTGGAGAACAGAGCGTGGCAGCTGAGCGGAAGGCGGAGGAGAAGCAGGAGGAGTGGGAAGAGTCGGAGGTGAAAAGATGAGGAATAAGGATGAAAAGAGCAGACGGAAGAGGATAGAGAGCAGGAGGACGAGGAGGCGAATGCAGAGAAGAAGCAGGAGGAGGCGTAGACAGAGAATAATGAATACGAGGAGAAGGTACAATAGACAAAGAGGAGTGACAAACGGAGGAGATGGACGACTAATGATGAGCGCTAGCAGCAGGAGGACCTCACCGAAGGTCCCCTCGCCGATCTTGGTCACCTGTGAGGTGTCCATGCCAAATTCCCTGAGAAGGTGGTCGAGAGATGGCAGCTTCTCCTGAGCACGCGCGGCTTCGATTACATCTCTCTGTCGTACCCGTGCATCCTCAATTATCTTTCACGATTGATCAATCAGACAAGGACCCACCAACCTTACCCAGGTCACCGACATGCAGATACAGCCGTCAATATCACTCTACAGGTCATGATGGTCAACTTCGAACAGGTTGAAATCTCTGGCGGCTCGTTCGGGAGTGTTAGAACGCCCGCCTGTTGTGAGGTCGGCTTTCTGTCTTGTGCCTGAAGCCCCCGCTCTCGCCGCCCGTATGATCCAAAAGCAGGTCCGCTCTGATGTTGGCCTTCAGACGACACCAAGAAAGCCAACGACCATTCTGAAACGACTGCAAGACGTCCCAAGACCGTCCAAAGACCGGCCAGCAAGTCCCCACAGGCTTCAATATCTCCCCATGTTGCCCCGCGAACGCTGCAAGGCTCCAACAGGACGCACAAGAGGCCCTCTAAAGGCAAACAATCCACTGATGCGACTTAGCTTTTTGAACGAGAGTGGCACGCTCGCCTTTCGAGCTTGTCAACGGCCCCAGTGGTTCTCAATATCGCCCCAGAATGGAGCAGAAGGCTGCAAAGAAGGCCCCAATACGGTCCAAGAGGGGCTCAATAAGGCCCGAGGGGCCACCGTGACGGCCTGGGAGGGCCCAATGAGGGGGAAGTCGAACTGGCATTGGGAGCCTTTCCCTCAGAGATGGCCACCGAGATTCCCTCTGAGGCCCCAGACCGAGCCCTAGAGGCCGCCAAGACGGCTTCAACAAACACCCAAGGGCACCCAAAGACGCATCCCGAAAACAATTGAGACAAGCCCCTAAGTTAGAGAAGACTCCAACACGCTTTCAGGAGAGAAGAGGGGGGAAGGGAAATGATGAGGAGGTGGAGGAGAAGCGGTGAGGAAAAAAGGGGGGACAAAGACTGTGGACAAGGAGGCCGTATTCAAGACCCGCTCCAGTTCGGCGCCCTGCCCGAACTGAAGCGGGTCTGAAACTAGACCTCCTTCCTGCTGCGTTGCTGCGTTGGTCGCAAGCGGCTGGCGAAGTTTCATATCGTCCTTATCCCCAGCCTCCTCCCCCTCTTCTTCTGCCTCGTCTTCACTCCTCAAACTACACCTGCCCAACTGTGAACAAGGCCACATGCAATCTCACTTGGCGTCCCCGAAAGAGGTCTATACCCCCGCGCCAGGCACTGGCAGGACAGTACCTAGGCCCGTTCTCTTGCGGGACGGTGGCCAAAGGCACGAGAGAGGCCGCACAACGACGTGCGGGCAGACCCGGATAGAAGGCGCGGAGGGAGCAGCACGGTCAGGAGCCAAGGGGCAGCTGGGAGTGGCCTCTGGAGGGCCAAAATGTCAGAAAACTTGCCGCCTCGAGTGCTCCCCAACTGCGCGGTGCGATCCACCTCTAAGAGATGCCGCGAAAAGATTGGGTTTATGTGCGAACGAGCGCCGGCTGGCGCCAGCCGAGAGCGCGGAGGAGGACGGGGATGCCGTTGTAAACTCACTCTGGCCTGCGGGCCGCAGCCCCTGACCCAGACCGAGAGGAAAACCAGCCTGCAATAGTCGCTCCCGGCCGCTTTCGCGCTGCCAGGTGGGCGGGCGCGTGCCAGGCCACGGCGCCAGAGTAGCCAGGAGGAAGAGGAGGAGAAGGAGAGACAATGGGAAAGGGCGAGTGCCCCCCGGCCCCTTGCGGGCTGCCGAGAGACAGCCTGGTCCGGCCGACGGGCCGCGCACCGCGGCCAAAAGCCGCTGGGCGAGCGCGCCGGGGGCTGGCCCCCGTCGACGTCCGAAGGGGAGGAAAGAACGAGGAGGAAGGAAGAAAGACAAGGAGGAGGAGGAGGAGGAGGACGAGGAGGAGGAGGAGGAGAAGGAGAAGAAGAAAACACGGCGAACGGACCCATTCATGCAACAGGACGGGCGGGCGGGGGGGGGCAAAGGCAGCAGGCAGGCAGGCACGCACGCAGGGGGCGGGCGGGGGTCGGCGGCCGCTGGCGGTTCGTCGTGGGTCGTCGTAGGTCTGGGGGTCGTCGTGGGTGTGGGTCGTCGGGGGGCGGTTGTGTGTGTTGGTTGCCGTTTTTGTTCCAGCGCGCTGGGGCGAAGTGGCGAAGCTGGGGGCGAGCGGGGCCAACCCGAGGCGCGCCGCGCTCCAAGCTCACGGTGCGAAGCGGGCTGGGCCCCCCAGCGCCCTCCAGCGCACGCAGGCACTACCCAGATGTGGCCGGCAAGAGACTCGTTGTAACGTCCTCCGGCACTGTCAGCACCTCCTCGGCGTGCGCCCTTTCCCCACGACCCTCGTCGTCCTGCCACGCGACGCCGTCAGCACCTCCTGGCCGTCCGAAGAGAAAACGACGGAGGAGACACCGGTGCTGCGGTCCCGCAGCGTGCAGACGCACTCCCCGAAGGCCGCCGGCCAGACATTCGCTGTCCAATCGACCGACGCCGTCAAAACCTCCTGGCCGTCCGGCGATAAGAGGGCGGAGCGGAAGCGGCCTTGGTAGCCTTGCGGCCTGCGGACGCACTCCCCAGACCCTCGACGTCATGATGTGTTTCATGGCGTCGGTCCCCAGAGGCCTTGACACATTGCCAGGGACTGCGTTTTTTACGACGACATGGGAGCGATGCAAGCCTCTGAAAGTTCGAGGCAGGCTGCAATGGATTAAACCACGCTGGCATCTCCGCCACCCCGACCGACGCCGAGGCCTCGGCCGACACAGCGGGAACGCCTGAGAGAAGTATGCAGTGATGATCGTCGCTGCAGCGCGCCCCCCGCTGAGGGGGGGGCTGCCTCGCGCCTTTTTGCGGCTGTGCGGTGCAACGGTGCTGCTCGCTCAGGCGGGCAGTCAGGACGGAGCAGCGGAGAAAATCCGAACCCTTTCTCAGGGGATGCTGGGAGGGGGCCAGCTCTTCCTATCCCCCTTCCCAATCCCCCTTCGCGGCCCTTACAGACAAGCGGTTGCTCCTGGAGTGAACATCCTATCGAGGCACGGTTGCGCTACCGCTCGATCTACGGATTCGGGCGAGCTCATCAACAAAAAGCCTGCCACGCAATTTAGTGGGGGGAAGGGAATCTGAATTAGGGAAATGGGTTTTCTAAGGGGCAGCCGAGGAGGGAGGAAGAGAGTGG